TAGGTACTAGTACCATGAAAATAGATACTAGTACGGTTTATAGATTAAATGTTAAAACGGCTTGCCATAAGCACTCACCGGATCTCCACTCAAAACGAACGACTCGCCGGCACCACCACGGAACTTTCGGAACATGAATATAAGATGTCATGATATAAGTCATTTAATGAACTGGAACAGCCTACTGATAACAGTTTTCTTCCCACAGATTCCCATTGGCTGCTCTTGCTGCTCCCGTCATGTCCTAAACCCTTTACTCAATGTTTTTTTAAAGATTTTATGATTGTAAACGACTGAATTGACATTGAATAAAAAAATATTGTATGTGAACTGTTCTTGTTCTATAGGGTAGACTGAGTACATTTGAGACATGTGTACAGTTGAAACACCTTAAATAACTTGCATACACAAGAACCCCAAGCCGTGATTTTTGCTCCACACATGTGTATTAGTGTTCTCTTTGATCGTGGGAAATTTGAAATGTGTGCGGCTTTACACTTCCACAATATTTTTTTTTTTTACAAGGTGAGATTTTCATTTCACCATGTCCTTTCCACAATGAATAGCTGATTCAATTAAATATGAATCATTGAAAAAGTTAATCTGTGTTTTAAAAATAGACATATTTTATGACATTGTGCCATGCAGGGACTTTTCATAATCTAGAGAAACGTGCGAGTATGTCAGTGGGGTACGGTTGAGACATAACAAAGCCACATTGGTGTCCTATTGCTTCACATGCTGTTTAGTTGTACAGTGTTATGATAATAGGTTAAAAGTCACATTTACACACATGCTACGCAAATTCTGTTAAAAAATTATATTTGTGATATTTTAACTATTATTAATGGACATGTTTTCTAACATGAATGTTAAAAGGATTGCATAGCATTTTAAGAAAAATACAAGGTGGTAAAGTGGGTACAGTTGATACACCCTTTATAGGTCGCTATGTATACAGTAACAGTTCAAGCATAGAAAATAAAATGCATATTCAGAGGCTGTGTGTGTTTGTGTAGCCTACCGTTATGAGGACCAAATGTCCCCACAAGTATAGTAATACCAGTAAATTCTATGGGAATTTTTTTTAGGTCCCCATGAGGAAACAAGCTTATAATTCATACAGAATGATTAAAAAATGTAAAAATGCAGACAGTTTCGAGTAATGGTAGATTTAGGGGTAGGGTTATAGAATATCTGGGTATATTGTTATTTTTACGGTTATGTTTACATTTATACTGTTTGCCATATTTTTTCTAGTGTTAAATATGTGTTCCTCTTTGTTCAATTAAATTTGAATTAAATAAAGCAAATAAATAAATCCGTTTTTTTTTAAATGCACAACTGTAATTTTGTAATTTATTACATTTGCAATAAATGGTTAGCCAGCTTTAGAGCATTAAGAATGGGTGTCTCAACTGTACCATGGTACTGTTTCAGCTGTACCCTATATGGGTACAGTTGAGACTAAAATGCACCTTATGTTTATGAGCTAATTGTGGAAAATATAAACTACTTATGGCTATTATCAATTTATGATATTTTAGTACATAAGCGAAAGAAATATCATGTGAAAAATCACTTCATTCCAGCATCTAGTTTTTGTGTAGTGATGAAAAAAGCAGAAAGTGTCTCAACTGTACTCAGTCTACCCTGCTTGTTAATGTTAACTAATAAACTTATTAAACTACATAATGTTTAACAAATCATTATTTCATGTAGGCTAAGTTAAAATGCTAACAAATGTCATTAAACTTTAAATTCCATATGATCAAGCACTTATTGAAAATCTGATTTCAACAGATGTTATAAAATGATTAAAAGCTTGTGTTAATGCACAACACTTTTGCTGCTATTGAGGTGTGATATGGGTAAGGTTAGGGACAGGTTTGGTGGTATGGGTAAAGGATCAACAGTGTACAGGGGTCAGTTTGATTATTATTAACGAACACGGTTCAATCTGTTTATATTATATTGTTCTGATAAATGAACAAGTATTTTATTTTAAAATTTATTTGTTTTCCCCCTGCTTATGTATGATTCAACGAATATCCTGTTTAATGATATACTGAAGAGTAGTATAATTAATAACTCTGTATTATGACAAAACAAGATCATCTCCTAATTTTACATAGCAACAACGTACGCGTTATTATGGTTACTAACTTCTCTCTAGCCTGTGAAATGTCCCGGATGAAGTTGAGTCACCCGCGTTGTTGACGTCACTCGATCTCTGAAAATGGCTGAGTCGGAAGAGGAGGTGGATGTTTTGGTCCAGAGAGTTGTGAAAGATATCAATAATGCCTTTAAAAGAAACCCGAACATGTACGTATGTGAGCTCGCATTGCTGCTTATCTCGCGCTCATTCAGTTTATGGCTTTTACAGCGGCTTAGAACCTCGCGCTCAGCCGCAGGGAGAACATTGTGCAGCAGCCTGTGTAACTTACGCAGACAGTGGCTGGCTAACCGGCTACTAACCAGCTCTCACCCGCTGGCGCCCGGCGCGGCCAGCAGCAGGTAGAGCTCACCAAGCCTCGCTTTTAGACAGGTCGTGTGAAAATGTGTCTGGGGCGCCTGTTTAACAAGCACCGTGCGAACGCCGAAAGTTTCTCTAATAAGTGAAACGCGAAGAGCGCGTGCGTGTCAGGTTGTAGCTAGTAACGTTACTGTTAATGTTTGGGTTTTTTACTCGCTGTTCAGTAACTGGAGGGCGTAGCGAGCTTTAATGCGTTATATTTAAAATTATAATTCTCAGTAATTTGCCATGTGCGTTTGTTTGTTTTTACTGGTGTTCGGAGTTAGACATTCAGTGGTTGCAACATTGCTGCTCTTGTGTATCCAAACACATCACTTCAGTCCACATATGAAGCATCTCGTCGGTCTTTTTAATGCTGCCTTCAATGCAAATGTTGTTTTTCTGTGTGTTAGGTCTCTTTGTTCCATATTTGAAGGTCAGTGTCCCAATGGTTTCACCTAGCTCTTCTCCTATGACACATTTGTATCTCTGCCAAAGAGGTACATCTGTATCAGTGTCAGCTGAGATGTTTGGTGCTTTATGCATTGCTGTCTGCCTTTAGCTCCTTAGCAGAGTTTCTTAAAATAGCCTTGTGACTTGTTTTTCTTTTTATCTTTTACATTGTGTTCACAGTGATGAAATCGGCCTCATTCCGTGCCCCGAAGTCCGATACAACAGAAGCCCCATCGTCCTGGTGGAGAATAAGCTGGGAGTGGAAAGCTGGTGTGTCAAGTTTCTGCTGCCCTATGTGCATAATAAACTCCTGCTGTACAAGCAGAGAAAGCAGTGGCTCGATCGGGAAGGTAGGACGAAGGTTTATTGGGTTAGCTTGTTCGGCCGCTCACATTTCTGTGACCTTAGTCTTTATTAAAAGATGGCTGTTCATACAACAGACCAGCGTTGCAGAAAAAGTGACTTCTCTCTCTTCTTGTCTTCAAGCACTGGTAGATATAACCTGCACATTGCTTCTCTTAAACCCAGATTTTACAACTGCGTGGAATGTCAGGTACATTTTCATCATTTATAATACCGGAAAAAAAACACATTCTGCCAAACTAACCCTTCACATACTTTCTGAATGATTATATGCACATGTAATTTATGGTATTTTTAGAAATTCTCTATTTCTTCTCTTTGATGTCTGTCTAGATGTCAGCCATTTTATTGTTCTGAATGTGCTGCTGCTATTTTTAAAAAGTTGTCTAATTTGGGAAAGGAGACATCAAAAGACTGCTACTACATTTAACTCTAAATTTGTCTATTTGCACAATATCACATAGGGAGCAAAGAATTTACTGATTTTTCTAACATTTAGTTTCATACAGGAAACAGTGTAGGTATATTTAATCCATGCCTGGTTTAAGAAACCAGCCTTTACTTTACTTTATTTATTTAAACTAGAACTAGGTTTTTACTAGATTTTTTGCACAAAATCTTGGCTGAATGTCTTCATGATAATGTTGGATAGAAGAAACCTATTGTCCAGGAGGTGGTGCTGTATTTTATTTTATTTTTTATGGTTGTATCCTTTTGAATTCATCTGGGTATTGATTGTTTTATAGGAAAGAGCTCCTGCAGTGTGGCGTGTTAAACCCAGAGAAAGACCTTTACCTGGTTAAACTAGCACTATCTAAGCATCCTAAAAGCCCAGAGACATGGATACACAGGTAAGAGGATTTTTAAAAAATTAGCCATTTTAAATTGTAGGTTTCCAAATCTTTGATTTGGCCTGCAATGTCATATTACAAGAGTGGTGGAAAAAAAAGAAAGTTATTATATATACCATCTTTTTTTTTTTACATTCAAATGTAGAGAATATAATTGATTTTGATTTAAAAAAAAAAAAACATTTATTTACTTTCAATCAAGTGTTTGGCCCTGTGTAGTAAAATGTTTGTGGACCTCTGATGTTTGTGGAAGCAAGGTGATTTGTTGTTGTTGTTGGGTAACTAGGGATGGGTACCGAAACTCTGTATTTAATCGGTACCGGGGCTAAATTATGAAAGACCGGAGTATCGATAAGCTCTGACGTTAACGGTTTTGCTATCGGTACTGGAAAAATTAATAACACACATACATTTATTATTGCTATATATACATTATCTTGCAAATTCTATCTCACCAGAGTCGCCAGCTGTTTTTCAAACATTTGTCTATGATGCATTTTTGCTATTCGCAATTCAGAAGCGATATCGCGCCCACGCGGAGGAGCTTCTGCACGCACAACATGAAAGCCCTGTTTAATTATGATAGAAGAGAGAACTAAACATTCAAACATCTGCTTACACTTTAGGCCTGTGGCTGTTTTATTAAGCAAATTTAATTTTTTTATTTCGATTTTGGCTTCTAAGGAGTATACAAAAGAAGACATGAGGTAAAGCTATTAAAAACTAGCTGCTTTCGTATTGCGCAACTTCTTTCCCTTCACAGCGGTGCGCATTCGTTCCTCCCTAAAACCCAAACTTAACGTCAGAATCAGCTCAATCGGTGATTGTTGTAAGATGCCGTCTTATGTCAACGATTCTGTGTTTTTCTGTCAATATGGGGTGCTGTGTGTACATTAATGAGGAAAAAAAATTAACTTAAATGATTTTAGCAAATGGCTGCAATATAACAGAGTGAAAAATTTAAGGGGGTCTGAATACTTTCCGTACCCACTGTATATAAAACAAAAAGTACCGAATCGATAAGAGTAGTAATACCGTTAAAACCTTAACGATACCCATCCCTATGGGTAACTATGATTAGAGCATAAATGTAAACCCCAGTGAAGGCATCTGCTTTAGTGCGATAAGATATTCTGCTCTTAATGTATACAGTTAAATAAAGTCTTTTAAAATATTAAAGAAAAAGATTACATATTATAGAATTGCTGTGTTCTGCACCCTTTAAGTGTCCTATTTTCCATATTACATTTAGTTTACCATTAGATGAGTTTGAATTTTCAAATAGTGATATAAAAAATTAATAATACATTAGGCATTAAGAAATTAATAATGGAATAGTTGGATGCGCTGTACCGGAAAATGTATGTGCTCTGCTTTCTTGTAGCTGAATTAGTATGGAAGAAACCTTGCTCTCAAACCGGCTGAAACAGTGAAAGCAGTGGCCAGGAGACCATGAAATGAAATTGTCTGCAATTGCAGACCTCTTGCAACATGTCAACAGTGGCACATACTGAAGTAGAATTCCGTCACTACTGCAAAGACAAGGGCAAACCACTTTACACGGATCCCTGGAACACTAATAAATATCCAAAGCTTGTGCAACTGACAAGACCATGAGCTTATATGTACCTGCAGGGAGTGTGCAGGACACATTGCAGTTGTCAACTATTTTGCAAATAATTTTACTATTCACTATGTCAGTTTGGATGATGCTATTGTCTGCAGATAATAATACTGAGCCATTAGATCTCCCACAATGTTTAGAAGCCGCAGGGTGCTGAGATAATCAGGGGCGATTCTGAGCTGTTATGAAAGAGAATTCATTGTATTATTTTTATTATTTGTTATGTTCATTGGTTTATGTATTTGTTCTCATAAATAAAGCCATAAGCATGTTAAATTCCTTGTGCCTCCAGACATATGTGTATGATCAGTCTGCTTAATTGGTTTGTTGTGAACACAGGCGCTGGGTGTTGCAGTGGCTGCAGAAGGAGTGCTCTCCCTCTGAACAAGAACTGAAGGATCATGCTGAACCCAGAGAAGACGCTGCGAGGAGACAGTGCGAGAGGCTGCAGAGAGCCTTGCAGGAGGAAATGAGGGTCTGTGCAGACGCAGCCGGCCGTTACCCCAGCAACTATAATGCCTGGTCCCATCGCATCTGGGTATTGCAAAACATGGCTAAAGGCAATCTGAAGGTAGGCTCAGTCCTCTGCAGCTTTCTGCACTATGTGTGATTTATCATAATGACTGAAAACGGGTGTCTGTTAGATGTTGCTTTGTTTGCGTACATCTCAAAGATTAGATTTGTTTTAGATTACTTTAAGGAATGATGGATCACACTGGCGTATCATCAGTGCTGTTACAAGGGAAGCAACATGAGATGGTTATTTATGAGGTTGATAAATCTACCTGAGCCTTTGATGATCTTAATACCTTTCTTCTCCTCTTGAATTACCCTAGGAAGAGACCTGATTACAGATGCCACAGTTTTCTGTCTTTTTAGCTTTTATTCCATTTTTTTTTTTTAGAGAGAGCTGAGTGCTGTTAGTCAGGAGAGCTTATTGGCTCTTAGGGGGTCACTGAGTGCCAGACCTTTGATGTGCTTATCCTTTCTTAATTGGATGCGAAATTAGGCAAATGTTATAGGGCTCAATCCAAGCTAAAGGCCCTCATAAAAAAAGGATGAGCCTGTAGATTTAATGATCCAGGACTAAACAGACTTGAACCAGTCTGAGCTATTCATAGGCTATTTCAGGAGTAATTGGGTTATGCGGCTGTCGTCTTACATCACTGCATGTCTTGTTTGGTACTGTTTTCCTTGGTCTGAATTTGGGTTTCGGGTTTATAATGCGGGAAATTCCAGCAAACATTTTATATTATGTACATTTAATATAGCATGTAGGTTAGATGTAAATAAATCCAGATAGAATATCAGATCAAATCAGTAATTTGAAAACATTGTGTTTCAGCTGTAGTCCGTCTTCTCTCTCTTTCTCTCTCTCTCTTTCTCTCTCTCTCTCTCAAAATGACATCACTTCAGCGCATCTCGTCTACACTACAAATGAGCTGCTGCACACTGCAATACGAGACTTTCGCTCACATTTTGGGACAGCTGACAGAATTGTCACTTGCCTAATCTGGCCAGTGTTGCATCGTCACAAAACTGTATCATTTGCACATCTTTTTTAAGTCTTTTTAAACTATTTGGTTACTCACGCGCTCCAGAGACTGGCTCCACAGTCTGGTTTTCTGTGCAGTCACTAGACTGCGACTGTGATAGACTTGTGCCGGTATTCGGTAATGCGATATATCACGGTAATGAATATGCACGATATTGTTATCGTGGGCACTTCTAACTACCGTGAATAATTATATATTACAAATTATTTAGAATTTTGAATGCTTTTTAAGAATACTTTTCCCATCAACTGGTCAAAATGCACACCACCGCTGTATGCTGCGTGAAAGACCCTTGCGCACTCTGATGTAAATAAGCGCGGACGAGAATCACATGGCGGAACATGTGAGAGACTCTCTGGATGAAAGCGCACTTTCACTCTCTGACAGCAGATGGCGCTAAACTGCAGAAATAATAATAATAATAAAGCGTCTGCTAAATGACTAAATAAATAAATAATAATAATAATAATTCATTTAAATGCAGCCGTTACCCCGGAAACCCTGTAAACAAAGCAGCTGCACTACTTTCTGTAAATCGGAGTATTGTTGTCCATGTAAACGTAGGCTACTCTGTCACCGTCACTAAGCTGCCGACAACTCTTTCAATCTTTATTTAAATCTACAAGCTGAAAAGTTATAAGTGAATGAGTATAAACACTCAATAGAGTGTTTTATATATAAAGAAGGTGTGACTCTATTGGATTGACCATGTTTAGACCGATGAATGTTGTGTTTCTGCTCCAGCATGGTAAGCAGTGTTTTAAACTAGAACAATAATGCAGCACCAGGGCTCCAGACTGCGACTAAAACGGTCGCAAAACCAAAAATATTAATTTGTGAGTGAAGTTTTTGCTGAGGTCGCCACTGGTGACTATAGAAATATACATGTTATGATTAAAAAATTTGCATGTAATTTTTTCTGATTGTGTTGCGTGCACGTCTTTTGTTATGTTGACGTAATAAACTGAGACTATGCGCATTAAAGTTTTAGTGGAAAAAAGACTTTCAAACAGTCCTCATCTCTGCTGAACAGCAGCGTTGACGGCTCACCTACTGAAAGCAGCTTCAGCTGTGGCGGCATGAGAGAGCGGAGACGCGCGAAGTAAAAGTGCAGAAAACCAGTATCTAATTTGTGTGCAATTTGAACAAACTACAACAGGTAAAACTGTCAGCTGTGTGGACATTAGCAATATATCGTTAACAATTCGTTTAAAATCGATACATCTTATCAAGATCTTTAGTCTAAATGCTGTGTTCTGTTGCGTGAACTTCATATTATTTGTAGCGCACTTGCCGTCCATTAATTGCAATAAGCTTTGTGCTTTGTTACATTTTAATAAACAAAGTATCAGCTTTAAAATTCTTAACAAAATTCGAACAGTGAATAACGTTTTGGCTCTATTTAATGCGGCATGAGTGATCGCTTTAGTGCCTCAGTTCAATCTTTCTATTTACTATATGAAATAAACATGAATGGACATCATTACTGAAATGTCTCGTGTAATCACTCATTCATGTAATGCTTGTAAACAATGCGACATAACAATCATTTACCTCAGAATAACCTATAAATAGGAGCATTTTGCTAAATTTATGCACTATATTGTATATTCATAGTTTTACTTATCCTGTTGTCTACGTGATAAGAAAGAATGCAAGGTGCTAAAGGTAAAATTCAACACCTCCTGAACAATTCTTTGTGACTGTATATAGTTCTCAAGTTGGAAACGACATTTAGTTCCCACTTGAAGTGATCCTTAGTTCCCAGGACATCTACAAGATGGATTAAAATGATGATAAAGACAAGAAAAGATGAGACATAAATACATGACAGTATGACTGAAATGTTAGTGTTAAAAAAAAAAAAAAAACATGTTTATTCTGTGACACTTAAAAAAAAAATAATTTGGCTCCTAATTTTGTTTCTTATAGGAGCCAATGGCTCCTTAATTGATTTTTTGTCTGGAGCCCTGAAAAGCGCACGCACATAAAGCGCTCAAAAACACCTTGCGAGTACCAAATTGAGTTATTTTTCACAGCTTATTGCGCTTAAGTGGCCAAATATGCACAAAATTATGTCATTATGCTCGTGCTAGCAAGTATCCTTGTAAATAATAGTCGGTTTTGTCTTAAGTGAATGTAAACCGTTAAGAAAGAAATGCATGTGTATCAGTACGTTGGATCCATGCAGTTTCACAAACATGAATTAAATTCACAAATAAATAAAATGAGATTTGCAAAAAAAAAAAAAAACCTTTTCATAAATATATTTTTATGTCACAAACACAACTTTGCCTGGCGTTCATTTGTGAATGGCTTTCTGTGCATTTGTAGATTGCTGCACACATTTGTGGATTTTGAAACATTTGTAGCGTCAAGATGCTGACAATTCACAAATGTGTGGACTCCACCCACCATCTACTCAAGCCAATCAGATAATAGCCACACTTTGCTGACTAATCGTAGCACGTTCTCGCTATAACCTATCACGTTTTACTTTACATTCAGGGCAGTCTTGTCCTGAAATATCTTCATTCATCTGCATTGGCTCAAATTGGAAATATAAGGGCCATACAAATTGATACAGTAAGAGATGTTTAAAATTGGATTAAATTAAATTAATTGGATTAAATCACGGCTATGGGAACAATGCTATACTGGATACAAACGCGTTATGGAAGCATCATGTTATTCACGATGGAAAGAAAAGTAGGGCTGGGAATCTGTTCCAAAAAGAATCGATTCCGAGGTGTTGGGAATCGAGAGTCGATTCCAAAGGGGAATTCCCAGTCGATTCCCATCAAGGGGAATCGACGACTCATTCAGATCCTTTTTCAGTTCAACAACGCTTATCTATGGGTGCCTCTCAAACGGAAGGCTGCACACATTTAAATTCACGAAAATAAACTGAAAGAAAAGGAGTCGGTACTGAGATAATCTGAATTTTAGGATGCAGCCTTCCGTTTGACAAGCACCATTTACCTCTCTCATGTTCGTGCATTTGTAGATTGCTGCACACATTTGTGGATTTTGAAACATTTGTAGCGTCAAGATGCTGACAATTCACAAATGTGTGGACTCCACCCACCATCTACTCAAGCCAATCAGATAATAGCCACACTTTGCTGACTAATCGTAGCACGTTCTCGCTATAACCTATCACGTTTTACTTTACATTCAGGGCAGTCTTGTCCTGAAATATCTTCATTCATCTGCATTGGCTCAAATTGGAAATATAAGGGCCATACAAATTGATACAGTAAGAGATGTTTAAAATTGGATTAAATTAAATTAATTGGATTAAATCACGGCTATGGGAACAATGCTATACTGGATACAAACGCGTTATGGAAGCATCATGTTATTCACGATGGAAAGAAAAGTAGGGCTGGGAATCTGTTCCAAAAAGAATCGATTCCGAGGTGTTGGGAATCGAGAGTCGATTCCAAAGGGGAATTCCCAGTCGATTCCCATCAAGGGGAATCGACGACTCATTCAGATCCTTTTTCAGTTCAACAACGCTTATCTATGGGTGCCTCTCAAACGGAAGGCTGCACACATTTAAATTCACGAAAATAAACTGAAAGAAAACGAGTCGGTACTGAGATCATCTTAATTTTAGGATGCAGCCTTACGTTTGAGAAGCACCATTCACCTCTCTCATGCTCGCTAAAAGCCATAGCCTAATTACGAGAGTTGTCAGTTTTATATTTTATATTCTTTTATATTTTTGTTACCATTCGCCTCCCTCATGCTCGCTAAAAGTGATTAGAATTCTTTCGGATAGATAGTTTTAACGATTCAGAAGCTATTTTACGGTGGAACTGGCTTGTCCACAATTTTGAGTGCTGCACGACAGAATAGATCATGACGTGATCAAGGGTCTTGATCTTATTTACATCTAAAATACTATTTTTTAAAACATTTCTGTCAGCCAATGATAATTCTAAAAGAAAACGTCACGAGCATAGGTCATCTGATTGACAGATAAACCACGAGTTCTATCAGTTATTGTTAATGTTCTGGTTATTTTGTTTCAGTGTACAGTTAGTTAATTTTGTGCAAAGCATACAGTCAAAGTAAACTTCATCATTCAGCTGAACTGTGCACATTTATTTTAGACACTTCATGCCTTGTTCAATTCATGCGATAAACGCATGTCCCTGCTGAACTGTGGGCTATGACTAATCTCACGGGCAAAGCAGACAAAATATTTATTTACAATATATATTATACAATATATACAAATATATATATTTACAAATAAAGCTTCATATTATGAGAAGGATACTTTCTACGACCTTTATCCTGCAGTCATGGTGAGATTAGGTTCCTTCAATCTAAAAAAAACAAGAATCGAAAACAACAGTGAGGAATCGATTCTTGGAATTGAATCCCATCGATTCCAGAACCAGGAATCGGACTCGATTCCAAAAATGTTGGAATCGAACAGCCCTAAAGAAAAGCGTGAATAAGTAACTGACTAATAAATAACTGGATTCAACTTCATGGTTAAATTGCCGTCACACAATAGCCAACAGCGTTTAACAGTTTTTCAGTCAAGCCGTTTAAATTATGTATATGAGCAGCTATGTGGATCTAATGATGTATAAAGCATTATAAATAATATTTTCAAACAATAATTAAAGTTATTACAAAGTTGCCATTGTTTGGGGTGGAAAAAATATACGTGGGTTGATCACGCAAACAGTATTTCATATGAATCAGACTTACTAGTTTTGATTATAAAAGTTACTTAACAGCATCCAAAGTAAATGACGGGTTTTATTTACATTGTCCACTCACAAATCCCCAGTACATGCTGCAGTGATGCTGAGGCTGGTACCCAGATGGTCATTTGGGCCCATATTTGATATTATACGTGTTATTATGCCCTATATTTGTCACTGCGATTGTGCTTTAAAAGGCTAAATAAGCCATGCCATGTCTTACACAGTGTCAACTCCGTTCACTGTCGCGCTGCAATGCAATAACTAACTGCAACAGGACGCATCAAAGCAAATGTGCAAATCATTTGTCCTTCATCATGTCGCATCTCGTCCAGTGTAGACAGTATCGCTGATTATAATGATTTCTATTTGCTTTGGACGCCTCACGAGGGTGTTACTCATGATGCTCAGGATCTGTGAATGATGATCATAAGTTGTGTAATAAGTTGTGATTCTGATGGAAATATAAAGAAGCCTTACACTCTATACAATCTTTTGGAAACAGGATTTTTTAAAGGGGACATATGATGCGATTTCAAGTTTTCCTTTCTCTTTGGAGTGAACAACGCACTGGATTGTTGGCCAATCAGAGCACACCTCGTTTTTCAGAACGATGAGCGTTTCAGAAAGGCGGGGCATAGAGGAGAAACAGTAATGTACAGTATGTGGAAAATAATGTTTTTTGAACCTTAAACTGCATAAATGCATTTCATTACACCGAATACACAAAATAATGTTCTTTTTTAGCAACGTCATATGACCCCTTTAACCACACAAACAGCACTTCAGCTCAATTTAAATTGAAGTGTCCATAGAATGCAGTACTTACAGGGGTGCAAAATGAATCTGCTCCCACCCTGATTGTAAAACAAAACATGAACGGTTATAGCGAGAACGTGCTACGATTGGTCAGCGAAGTGTGGCTATTATCTGATTGGCTTGAGTAGATGGTGGGTGGAGGCCATGCATTTGTGGATTTTTAGTGTCTTGACGCTAGAAATGTTTGAAAAGCCACAAATGCATGCAGCGATCCACAAATGCACAGAAAGCCATTCACAGATGCAGAGTGAGCGATTCACAAATGAATGCAAGGAAAAGTTGTTTGTGTGACATAAAAATATATTTGTGAATGTTTTTTTATTTGCGAATCTCATTTTATTTACATGTGAATTTAATTAATGTTTGTGAAATTTATTTGTGGATCTCATTCTATTTATTTGTCAATGTGTTTAATTTTTGTTAATATCTTTACATTTATTTGTGGATCATAATGTATTTATTTGGAATTATGCAACAATTCTATCTCCATAGAGCAATGTCACAGTTGCAGGTTGTACTTATTATTAAAACAAATAGAAAGCAAACAAGTAGCCTTAATAGTCATTTATTTTAGCCAACATGTGCTATGATAAATTTCAACATAGATTTTGATTCTTATTTTACATGTATACTTGTCAATTTATTGGTAAAAATGTGTACAAACCCTGCATGAGGAAATCATGGATTTTATTTTAAAATACTATTGGATATTTAATTATGCATGCTCCATTCCTTTATTTTTATCTTTAAATCGTCTAACTCTCACTTAAAGTTAATAAGCATTTTATAATACTGTTAAATATAAACTTCACATCTCAAAATGAATATCCATTATTAATCCTGTACATTATAATGTTGTGATGCATCAGTTGACATTTAAAATTATTGTTTTTAACTTTAGTGTTTTATTTTTCCATATTTGAGCAATGTATAATAATATGCATGTTTTTGAATAACATTTGGCATATATCATTCAAGGCTTTTGAATAAATTGATTGATATGCTGACATCCATAGCGCTTACAACTTGGCATCTGAACTGAAATTCATTTGCAACAACCTGAAGCATAATGCTGTTATGAAGTATTATGAAGTCATAATACTCTGACTTTCTACTCCAGGTTCTGCATGATGAGCTGTCCTCCACCCGACTGTGGGTGTCCATGCACGTGTCAGATCACAGTGGCTTCCACTACCGTCAACACCTGCTCAAGGCCCTGGCCAGAGAGCTGAGCCAGGTTGGAGAGACAGAGCTCCACCCCACCAAGCAGCCTAACGGAGAGAGCACAGCGGGTGCGTCTGATGACAATCACCATAATGACGTCATCCCTCAGCTCTTCCACGAGGAGATGGAGCTCTGCACTGATCTCATCGAGTCATATCCGGGCCACGAGACGCTGTGGTGCCACAGGTGAGAGTGATCAGGCAGAGTGTTTGAAGCCAGTAACAGATCTCCAGGTCTTGCTGTGCTGATGGTAGTCGTGCAATCAGTCAACATCACACTGTGCTTCCACAAGTCTCGGTGTGAATACAGTGACTTTGTTTGCCAGAAGTCTGTCCTTGGCCCTCAGCTGGTCTGTGCTGATGTGTTTATGGCTTAGTGTTATAAAATGATGGATGGTCTAATGCTGCAGAGTTGTAGCTCACTGAGGAAGAGGCAAGCAGTTTGCTGGATCTCTTTTTCTAGCTCTTTCAGTTTTTCCCCCTTCCCAGCCTCATCCCTTGTGGCTGAGACAAGGAGCAGCTGCTCAGTGAATGGTGTTTATATATCTTAAGCTTGTGGTTTCCCCCCTAAAGTGTGATATGAGAATTTGTTTGTGCAACATTTCATGCCTCTTAATGACAAATATTATGAAACATAATGCATTAATAAGCTCTAGCTTGCTTTAGTTACGAATGTTTCACACTTAAGCCTTTTTCTATTTCCTGAAATCATTGTTTTATTTTGTTTTTACTGGTTTTGCATCAGGTTTAGCAATTGGATGATAAGTGATGACCCAACATGGAACCAAAACTGTTTATCATACAAAAATAACACCAAAATGAAATTCTGTCACCATTTACTCAACCAATATGACCCATATAAAATATGACTGACTTTTGTGGAACACAAAAGATAATTTTTTTTTAAAACATGTACTGGTCATGTACTTTTTTCCCCCCATGCAATAAATAATGGAGCTTTAAAGCTTCAAAAATTATGCAAAAGCACCGTAAGTATCATAAAAGTAGTCCAAATAATCCCTGCACTAAATACTAAGTCATTTAGATAGCATATGATAGCATGTGACATTTTAACAATTTATTTTCTGTGGAATATTTTATATCTTATAGGTTTGGACTGATTTTTTATACATTGTTTCTAGAAATTAGTTTGTTTTTTTTCATAATATTATAAAATAACAGTTTTCAGATTAAGTTCTACTACAGTTCTCTGGTGTGGTGATGTCTAGTATAGCACAGAATTTGATCAAAAACATCTTTTATGATACATTTATGGCGCATTTGAAAGCTTTTTAAAGCTTGAAAGCAATCATTGTAATTATTATTATGATTTCTCCTGTCATGTTCTGTTCAATGAAAGAAAGTCATAAAGTTTTGGAAATACATGAGGGTGAGTAAATGATGACAGAATCTATGTGACAGCCAAGTGCATAAAAATCTCAATGAGATATTAGTTTCCACAATGTTTATCTCTGTTGCAAGTAAAACTGTATGTAATATAGTTTGGGGTGTATTTTTTTCACTTTGGATAGTGTTGCTTGTGGTTTTTGAAGATGAGGGCATGTCTTTTAAAAGTTGGTAAGCCTATTCATTTTGTTATTCTAACATTGCATTGTATTTGCTCTGCAACTATCATATCACACCTAAATAATAATGTAAAGTGCATTTTTTTATAGTCAACTGCATTTTAGTACATCAGGTATGTGGTTTTTGAACAAACTCAAATCCAGGCTTCTCCAACAGGCGACATGTCTTCTACCTGTGGCACCAGTGGCGGAGGGAGCACCTGCAGGGGGCAGGGTCACAATCTCCACCTCTCACCCACACCGATGTCCTCCTCAGCGAGGAGCCCTGTGACGACAGCAGCACCTCCCAGACCATGGACGTTGACTGTGTTCTGGACGGGAGCAAACACGGAAGCTACACGCAGGACACCAAGCGACTAAAGCGGGGACCACTGCTTCCCCACCCCGCACTTCCCTCCGAGCACACGTTTGTCTCTAAAATCCTCACGGGCTGCCGGAGCACCGAGCAAAACCGCTTTGCCATTGCCTACAGGAAGTGGCTGGACTCAGTTATAGGTCAGTAGCGTGAGAAATGCTCCGCCCACCATGATATGGGAGAACTGTGATAGGTCAACTTATTTCTGGCTCTAGCCGCCCACACGTGATTCTCTGAAAACAGCTGGACTCCTTGGCCGGTTTGTCAGAGCTGCTCTGCCAGAGCAAATTCCCACTCATGATGAAAACCCATGACCTGTCTCGGCAGTCTAAGCCTGGTCTGTTTTAGCTGCTTTAGTTCAGGTACTGGATATCTCAGGTCTGTTTTCAGTGTACAATCCTCTTTTCTCTATCAGAAGCTACAAGTTTGTAGTTTTTTCATATAGTTTTGTTGGTTTTTATGTTGTTTAAAGTCTTCCACCACAAATCAATTACAGTATGTTCTCATCATGTTGTCTGCAGTTTTGCTATTCCTGCCGGGAATCTTAAATGCACACTATGGTGCACACTTGAAGGGAACACTTAGAGCCCAAAGTGATTCTGACCCAGTTTCCCTCTTTTGTTTAATTGAGGGCAGACTGGCTCTTGAATCCCGTCTACTGCTCCTCTTTGGACTTTTGTACTGAAGCATGAATATTTTTCAGTGATTACATAGACGTTTTGATACAATCAGTAATGTGAGCACAATCATTGAATTTAAAGATTCCTTGAGCCATTTGATATGAAATAATAGGGCATTCATTCAGGTGAGTATTTGTATTATATGACATATCTGTTGCAGGGTCAGCATTTCTTCAGTTCATGCAGATGATTCTTGGGCATTTGAGAATAAATGTTCCTGAAGCACATCGTCATCACTCATTAGAATAACAAAGGCCACGTTGTCACATGGACTAGCCTCAGCATTTAAGCACTAGTTTTGGGTTATAGTTCATCCAGGTGGGCTCACAGATTAATGGGTTTTCATGATGAAAGGGAATAGCAGAAGTAGGAATAGGCTTTTCTCAGCTTGGCCCAAATGTGGCTGCAGAAATAACATTCTGCCACATTCAAGCCCACCTTGTGCAGAACGGTGCTTATTATCTGCACTGGGGGAGTGTGGACCCCTGAGGGGCCTGGGTTTACAAATGCTGCTTTTTGTTTAACACTATTTTGAAATATATTTATGCAAATATAAAAAGTGAAATGTTGTTAGCTTCACTTATGTGATGATTTATTAAAGCTAATAAGCTATTAGACAGTTATGGTTGACTCACTGTTACTCAGTAATTATTAAACTTGTAATAAACTGAAGTTTCACAGGCTCAGTCTTGCATTGACAACTTAATTCTTTCACAGCTTACTTAGAGTAGGTTGTGAAAATCGGATTAGATATTATTATATCTCGCTCTTAAATTAGGACATGTGCAAAACTGTTCTTGTTAGGTGAAATCATTTTAACATTCTAGCAAAGCTTATATGAATCCATGTCTTTCAGCATATCTGTAAGACTTGCAGAGTTCGATCTTAAGTTTCACATCATAAAAGTCTAATTTTGTTCTTTAGTTTCTTTTTTGCACAATTGCACAAGAACTAGATTTATGAAAGTAGTTGTTGCATAACTTCTTGACTGACTCTCAGACTTTATAAAGGGCCATGTCAGAGTGCTTTTTTCTGTTCCTGCTTTTCTTGGACCATGACCATTTTTTTTTTTTTTTTTTTTTTTTTGCTTTGAAATCATTTTAACATTCTAGCAAAGCTTATATGAATCCATGTCTTTCAGCATATCTGTAAGACTTGCAGAGTTCGATCTTAAGTTTCACATCATAAAAGTCTAATTTTGTTCTTTAGTTTCTTTTTTGCACAATTGCACAAGAACTAGATTTATGAAAGTAGTTGAGTTATGTAACTTCTAGACTGACTCAGACTTTATAAAGGGCCATGTCAGTGTGGTTTTCTGCATGTCTTGGAACCTGACATTTTTATTTTTCTTTGAGCTGCAGTAGCAAAATTACCGGATGTCTGTCACGGAATTCTGAAAGGTTCCCCTCAAGAATAAAGCCAGCTTTTCCTCCACACCATTCCTCTGTATAATGCAATGTTTAGCAACTGCACTGACAGAGTTTGATCATTTTTCACTCTTTATAAGTACAGGAGTGTGCACAGGTGCTTGTTTTTAGATGATGATAATATAAGAGTTTAGCAGCTTTTTTAACCTCCCTTACACCTGCTGTTAAACAAACTGCTCCTAATAGAGTACTGTATGGAAGAATAGTCTAAAACTGGAATGCATCTGCAACAAATGCCTTTATATTTTGTCACTTTGATCTGAATAGTTATCTTTTTGCATGTACATTATGTGTCTACTGTTGTATTGGGATCAAGGTCACATTGTCATTGTATTTGATTACTTTTTATTATATTTATTTTTAGGATTTCATGACCCATACATGCAGAGACCGAGACACATCACGTTGATTTTTTTGGCTCCCTAAACAATTAACAATTAGCTCTTTGTAATAATGCTATAAGTGGTTTTAATATCTATTGCCTACTAACTTTTAAACTCTTAATGGACAGTCTTACCAGTTACATTGTTGAAAACGTACAAATTACAATATTTATGTCTATCTGTTCAGGGCTTCCCGTTTCATAAATAGTCCTACATTACCTTAGAGGTTTTAAAGATGTGTACATTAGTGTGAATTACACTGAGGAAGCACATAGTATTTCCAGTTGTGTCATGTCAGTTTCCATTGTTGTAATGTCAGTTGCTGTGTGAATACCAAAAGTTTAACAGCAGTTACACTGTAAAGCATAAACACGGATTTGAAATGACTAGTACATCTATGCAGATGCATGACAAGAGTTCATTTAGCTTTAGAAAGAACAAATGTAGCCTAAGAATTTGTATTTTCCTCATGTATTGTCTGATAAACTGATAAGGTACTGTAGGTTTTTACAGCCACAATAACCAACATTTATAGCATCTCATCCATTATGTATTTTATATTTATTTGTATTAAAAACTGTAATGACCGTAAGTGTTTTGTCAGTTGTCTACCACATTAAATAAAGCTAGCCTACTCTGAAAAGGTCCATCTCACATTTTAATTTCCTATTATTTTGCATTCATGACCATTTTGTGAAGTTATTTATTTATTTTTAATCATGTCATGTGTGTTTCTTCGATTACACATAATTACCCTGTAGCACATAATGTTCACAGATTTAGGGTTGGTACTTTTTTTTATGTTTTGGAAAGAAGTTTCATCAAGGCTGCATTCATTTGTTAAAAAATACTGTAAAAACAGTAATTTGTTAAATATTACAATTTAAAATAACTCTTCTCTATCTTATTTTAAAATGTAGTTTGTTCAAAGGAAAGCTGAATTTTCAGCATCATTACTCCAGTCTTTAGTTTCACATGATCCTTCAGAAATCATTCTAATATGCTGTTTTGTTGAGGAAACATTTCAGTTATTACCAATGCTTATTGCTTGCTTCCTCTTTTTATTCTATATATTTATAGCTTTCTTTAGTCGGAGGGCTGGGCAGTCATTTTGTAACCAGCTTCATTTAATGTCATCGAAAGGGCTTTATACCGATTTGGTTCTGTAGGTCATTTCTTACTATGAACTTGAAGCAGCATTGCATGTACCGTACAGTACCGCTTGGCGTTTTGCCGAGAGCTGCAGCTCGTTCATTGAGAAATTAGGCAGCGTTCGGTGGTGTTTGATTAGCAGGTCTCTGATGGGAGGAGTCGGGCTTGCCCACAGACTGAGTGAAAGGCAGGCTGGCAGGCGATGAAGATGGTCGATCCAGACATATCGGGTGGAACGTTAGCTCGCTGCAAACTGCAGTAAACGAACAGGTGAGAGATATGACACGCCCAGTTCATTTTACGCGCTGTGTAATGTTATCGTTTGTCGCGGAAGCGGTTTTGTTAAGTAAAACAGGAACAATGTAATAAAAAAAAATTGTATTTCAATGAGATTCACTCAATGATGAGCTGCGTCCATAGTGATGATTGCTTTCCCTGCCGATGACAGGCGGAACAGTGTTTGTTTACATTAGAAAAGACGATGTTTCGTTGGCGTGGAAACTGCTGGTTACCAGATAAAATACAAAAGAAATGTGAGGGCCTAAACTGTTAAGTTTAGTATACTAGTTATCCAATGCGAAATCCATACCGTTTGCAGTTCATCAATCTCATACTCACTAGAGGAATGAGTGAAAAATGCCTACAACTAATTCAGTTTCTAACTTATGCTTGTGCATTATTGAGAGTGGTGGTCATTCTGATGTCTAGAATAACAGTGACTTGAATCCGTTTCTCCAAAAAGATTTATGGTTATGGTTACACCTGTAGGTGGCAACAAGGGAGTGTGGTATTAGAATGACTAAATTCTTCACTCAGTCGATTTGTTTCAAAACACCTGCTGCCTCTGGAGGCAGTATAAGGAGGAAGGAGACAAGGCACATCCGAATCCAATCATTGTGAAACATTCTTTCTAGATACCTTCATCTGGGGTGCGTTTCCCAAAAGCAGCTAGATCCGTCGTTACCAATAGAGTTCAGCAGAACTTGTGACCCTAGTTGGCTAACAGTGCTTTTGGGAAACACACCCCTAATTTTTGAAGGCAGCATATGTATCCATGGCTGATTATGATATCCCACAATCCTGTGTGTTTGATTTCGTGACACCCCTTTCTCTGCTTATTACAAATGACTCTGATTAACAACTAAAATGAACAACATTCCAGCTAACAATTTTTGCTCTGGGAATGTTCGTTTTTGGTTTACAAAAAAAGAACCTACAGAAAAAAATAGAAACGTTTGGTTCCCCAAAATAACCAAATGAGAACCATATGCTAACATTAGGGGAATGTTCTGTGTTTGCTGGGATGTCAACTCTGGTTCAGTCAGCCATCCGTACCTCTTTCATGAACAAGATGTTTTGTTGAGTTTAGTTCACAAAGGAGATGATTCGTTTTTTTTTATTTACAACACCAACTCTTGTTTAGTGCATGTTTGTTCAATATAGAATGCATATGGTTCAAAATAATGGAACAAATATGGCAAAACATTCATTCAACTCAGTACCATATTTAAATTTTGACAGGAATTAAAACGAGGCAGTGAGGAAAAGAAGTGCAGTCCATTCATCCCAGATAGCACATGTATGTCTGCAAGATGTCTGTTAAAGATCACTTCATCTGGAAAGCATCTGCTGTGTACAAACATCTGATAGACGTCTTTAAGATCTGTTTTATACATTCGAAAATCATAAATATCTTAAAGACATTTTCTAAACGTCTAATTGACATCTGATAGGAAACGTCATATTGCAGATGAGCAAACACTACAAAATAGGTCTTGCAGATGTAAATGCAGACGTCAAATAGACGTCTCCATGATGTAAGTGTGATCAGGGATGGTTGTCTAGCAACATTGTTCAGCTCACAACATTTCTTTCCAAAAAGCTTTCAGTAGACAAAAACTCCATAAAATAGTTTTGAAAGTTGTGAATTGGCAAAGATTAGATGATCTAGGACCTTTATACAGCGCGTTCCATGGTAAAGACTGCCTCTTTTTCATTAGGCTAGCCTTAAATTCAGTATGGTGTCTATTAGTGAGAGAGCAGTTGGCAGAGTTTGGAACCAATGTCTGTTTGTTTGTTTATATATTTGCGTAAATATTTAATCTCATCCACTGACCAGTTTGTAGGCTAATGGTGCGTTCAAGTCATGTCGGATAGATCGTATTTACGAGTTGAACGCACATGAACGCCACCACAAAGTCGTTATTACGAGTGGGAAACTCGACATTTTCTTTAAGCCCCGAGTTTCCGAGTTGGGGGCGTGTCCGTGAGAAAACGTGTCGGATGCAATGGACGCATCCAAAGACTAGATATGCAGCTTCTGTATTTATGGTAAATTTGTTGAAATTAATAAAATTATAAATTTTTTGTAATGTAAAATAAAACTAGGCCTATATGTTACATATACAAAATATTATATTATTGTATAATTACCAAAGAACATATAATGATTCAGTTTACATCACCTTCATAAATTGAATAAAAACAGAAAAAAGCAAAAACACAATGACGCACATTCTTTATTCATCATTTTGTAGATGTAAAGTGTAAAAAATGGTTGAATTAGAACATATAATGATTCAGTTTACATCACCTTCAAAAATTGAATAAAAACAGAAAAAAGCAAAAACACAATGACGCACATTCTTTATTCATAATTTTGTAGATGTAAAGTTTAAAAAATCGTTGAATTTTATGGAAAAAAAAGTTCAATCGCCATATTGTTCCGACCAAAGTGACTTGAACGCACCTGACGTCGTTATTACGACTTGTCAACTCGTAAGTACAGGAGGACTTGAAAGCATTATAAGTATGAGATGTAAAACATGGCATATAAACATACACATTTTTATTTTTTAACCGGATTGAGAATTATTCAGATTTTTCTGTTGATCGGATTATTCAGGTTCACACACCTTTTAATCCGTTCGAAATTTCGTTCGGATCGAGTTCAGTCGGATCGATTGAGGTGTTTAGGCTACATGAAGGCTATTCAGTCCGGTTGAGCCATCAGTCCGATTATAAACTGAATACTGTATTTTGGTGCATGTAAACATAGCTACTGAATTCACTTACGAGACTCAAAACACCGGTTTACGAAAAGCACGCCAATAATTAAGTGTGTGTTTATGTAGGAGGAGTGTGAAAATCAGTTAGCCTCACTTTAAAGCTGCTGGACACAGATTTCACGTAAGCTCCGTTACGGAGGTTGAAGTGCCACAATTGATGACTCACTGTAGTCTCTCTCTGTGTATCGCCGTGATTGTAAACGCACTCCCTTCTCTCTCTGTGGTCCACAGAGGTTCGGCGTTTTTGCAAAATAGTGCTCTGCTGTTGAATAGAGCCCTCGGAATACGCTTGCGCTGTAGGCATTACCAACCTGCTTTCCTGCCAAATACATGCCCTAGATGTAGACTCACTGCGCGGCGTCGGATGCTGTGCAGGTGCGGGAGCAAAACACTCGCGTGAAAACTGATTAAGAAGAAGGCGAAATGACAAGGACAGGTCTTGCAATTGCAAGAAAATCCTTCGTTAGACCTCGTCGCACATATTCTTATGTTATAAGCCACATCCATCCTCAATATCACACCTTTACTCTCTCCGAGTGATGCTGCTGCTGCTGTCTATGCAGGTAGGGCTGCGAAAACACGCAGTTTACGTATTGCATTGATGTTTTGACTGGTAGGGAGTATTTTCAACTAAACTTTTATAATGCTTGTGTTGATATGACAGATTAGTTTACTTGTAATAGCTTTAAGGAAAAATATGTAGTGGTTTATGTCGCAGTACGCTGCTTTTAAGGACGCCAGTGATCCAGGGAGTAGGTAACAGTAACGACCCGCCCTTTGCAAATATATAATAGCGAATTGGGCAAAAAGTCATTAAGTGTTGCTCAGTGATAAATGTTTGTGTATTGCTTCGTTTTGAAGATGGGAGTGTTCTCAGAAGACACTAAAGCCTTCTCACGTATCAAGCCATGACTGAGCAAATCACAAAATAACAGCATTAACATCAGAGGGGAGATTTGACATCTGTGCTTTAGCATTGGTGTCTTAAGCAGGTGAAAATTGTCATTTTTGTGTGATTTAACTATGATTGTCTGTGTGATTGTGTTCTGTACAGTCAGATTTGCTGAGCACTGTTCTACTGGGGTATTTACACATATTGTTTTTTGGACATGGTACTATGGTGCTATTTTGTAAATAATATCATGGTCATCTTGGAAGCACCTTGGAGTATAATAAATATCACATAGTATCAAAACTATGTGATATTTATGATAAAAAAATCAAGCGTAATTTATTTATTTTTGATATTTTACCATGGCATGCCAAATATTTCAGTAAACACTTAAATACCATTGTATATATCAAAGTACCATGTTACCGCCACAGTACTTCTGATATTTTTTATACTTCTGATATACCAGGCACATAATTCCGGGTATTTAAGACAGAATTGTTCCTGTATTTCCAGAATTGCTCATGTATTTTCAGGCTGAATAGTCAAGTCACAAGTCACACAGATTGTTTCAAAACAGCTTCACAGTAATAAAAAGGAAAATATCTGTGTTACTTTTGAAAAACTTAGTTCAGTAGCGGTGTCAATGTTGTAAAGTTGTAATTGTATTTTATCAATTATGAAATAAATTAAACTTAGCTAAAAAGCAGCTCTGCGGAAGAGAATAGTGTCATTATTCAGCTTAATTCAGATTCAGTGTCGATTCAATTCAGTTCAGTTATAGTGTCAATGTTGCAAAAGTTCATCAATTTTAAAACAACTTCGAAAGCAGCACTACAGAAGACAGCAGTGTCATTATCCAGCTCAATTTATTGCAGGTTTTTGTTCTCATCTGATAGTATCAGTACAGTCAGATTGATAATATTTTATGAATATTAATTGTCTTTTAAGCCCCAATTAGAGAAGAAGAAAAAACCTTGGGAGAAACAAGGCTCAGTCGGGGCACCAGTTCTCCTCTGGGACCATTTTTTTATTGGCATCTATGGTTCCATGAGGAAGCTTTAACATCTACAGAACCTTTCCATTGCACAAAAATGTTCTTAATAGTGGAAAAGGTTTTTTTAGATTATTCAAATATTCCTTTGAGAACCGTTCGCTGAAAGGTTCTTTGGGGAAGACAAAATTGTTCTTCTATGGCATCACTGTGAAACCACCCATTTGGAACCTTTATTTTTAAGAGTGTAGTGTGAGAAGTGTGTCATGGACCACTCAGATTTTAATCAAATACTGCAGACTGCAGTATTATTTACAGATTTGCACATTACAAATTCATTGCTCATGATTATAGGTTATTAAAGGTATTGATTATTGTATATATGTGTATAGATTTAGATTTTTAAACATACATATTTATGGCAAACTGCTCTGTAAGCAGAATTTGAATTTAATTAGAGTTTCACTTGATTACTCAGCCAAACATGAATCAATAAATTGATCTAGAAAATGGGTAAATGGATAAAAAGTGCAATTATAATTGATCTCAGCTAAAGACAGTGTGGCTGAAAAAAATAAAAAAATAAATAAAAAAAATATATATATGTATGTGCCCTTGGACCACAAAACCAATCATAAGGGTCAATTTTTTGAAATTGACATTTATACATCATCTGAAAGCTGACTAAATAAGGTTTCCATTGATGTATGGTTTGTTAGGATAGGACAATATTTGGCCGAGATACAACTATTTGAAAATCTGGAATCTGAGGGTGCAAAAAAATCATAATACTGAGAAAATCACCTTTAAAGTTGTCCAAATGAAGTTCTTAGCAATGCATATTACTAATCAAAAATTAAGTTTGGATATATTTACGGTAAGAAATATCTTCATGGAACATGATCTTTACTTAATATCCTAATGATTTTTGGCGTAAAAGAAAAATCGTTTTTTTTAAGCGACTTAAGACTGGTTTTGTGGTCCAGGGTCACATATATATATATATATA